ATGTGATCCCTGAGAAGTCATCAATACAAGGTGGAGTCAGAATCTTCAGTTGTGTCTACATGTGAGTCAGGGTACCAGAGAGGTGTCCAGGACTGGCTCAGTGATGGCTGCAGAAAAGACAGAGTACCTGAGGGTAAGGACAGATCTCCAGTCGCTCCTTAGTGATTGGGGAACACTTGCCTGGTATAAGGTATAAGGTGTGTTAGTGTAGGAAATAAGGCCTCTTACCTACTCAGCTGCTCCTGGCATGGGCTGCTATGGAACCTATTACCTTCATCCAATCTCCAACATTGCTAGCTTTTATTGTTATAGAGCTCTCATGGTAAGGATGCCATCTGGTTCTTTCTGATGGGCAATGAGCCAGCAATGAGCAGACCCCATAGTCTTTAGTGCCATGCCACTTGCTCTTTGGCCTTGGTCTTTAACTTCATTCTTACAATCCATGGAGGATCAGCATCATTTGGGAATTATTTTCTATATGAGATCTTGGTCATTAATATGACAATGAATGGCTCCACAGTATGATTTAAAACCAAGGGGGAATGCAAGGTATTCTGTGGTCAAGACACAGCTGAAGGTCAATGATCATGGCCTTCCACATTGCTTTACTGGGGTTCGCATCACTGTGGAGCTGTCCTCCTTAAGTCTGACCAGGTGGTTTCCATAGCCCACTGCTCTCAGAGTGGTTTAACTTTCCTGGGGTCCCAGCAATGGGCAAGCTGGGAGTAAACTGCTGGGTGAGATCACGAAAGGCATGCATAATAACAAGCCTTACCTATCAGGGACATTTCTCATGGTCAGTTTGCTTCCACTAATGGAGCATCAGTCCTTCCTTGACCTGGTCCCTGCCATGTGGGTTTTCCAAATCACCACCCTGCACTGGATCTGCCAGATCGTCAAAAGTGCTCACATCCCACAGCCCACAACAGTATCTGCTCAACAACATCAATGTATTCCCAGAGTAATAGCCATGTTTTCTTGTCCATCTACATACCTCCTCTTATTGCCGTTTTCTCTACCATTCTTGAAGTCAGGACTTGCCCAATTGGGGTTATACTGAGCAGTATGTGTTAGGAAGCAGAGTGGTGCACAGCAGGGACTCACAAATAGGTTCCCAAGAGCCAGCCAAAGCCAAAGGGACAGCCCCACTACCATTGTTAGGAGTCACACAAGTAGACCAAGCTACACATCTGTCACATATATGTAGAGGGCATAGATCATTCCTATGCAGGCTCCCTGGTTGTTGGTTCAGACTCTGTGAGTTCCAATGACCCAGGTTACTTGTTTCTGCTTTTTGTGGTATTCTTGACCCTTCTGACTCCTATAATCCTTACTCCCTCTCTTCAGCAGGATTCCCTGACCCAAAAGAAATCTAATGTTTGGCTGTGAATCTCTGCATGTATTTCCATCAGTTACTGAATGAAGGTTCCCTGATGACAATTGAGGTAGCCATCAAACTGACCACTAGAGATGGCCAGTTCAAGCTGTGTATCCACTATTACTAGAAGTCTTAGTTGGGATCATCCTTGTAGATTTTGGGAAGGTTCCCTTGCATCATGTTCTACTTGACCCCAAAATGCTCCCTGCTTCCTATCATCTCTCAGTAGAGTGCCTTCATGTGCCTCCCAACCCAAACCCTCATGTTCCCATCCTCACCTGCCCCCAGGAGATATTCCTTTATTTCCCCTTCCCAGGGAGATCGATGCATCTGCCATTGGGCTTTCCTTGTTTCCCAGCGTGGAATTTGGTTAAGAGAGCTTCTTGTTGGCCACTACTTTGGGATTGGTCATTTTGGGAGGAGTTATGTTGTCCTGGATTTTCATGTTACTTCTGATTTTGTCATAGGCCTTGCTCACCTGGATTTAGTGTGTTACTTAAGTGTTTCTGTTTGCTTTCTGTTGGAGAGTATTTTCATTGATACTTGGTGTCCCAAGTTTGGTTGTGCTTGGCTCATCTGTGTTCTACTTGAGTTCAGGTGTGGAGACACACGGTGCTGGTTTGTAGATGGAATAGCTGGCTGATGATGATCTAGGAGTGCTATCCCTTCTGGCCTCACCAACCACAATGCAGAAATTGACTTGAGATGTGTGCTGGGGCAAGATTCAGAATATCCTACATGCTCTCATCTCATGAGCCAGGTAATGTGTATTATAATAGTTGTGTGTGCTGATCATGATGTGCTAACATGTATTCTGACCTCATGAGCCATGTTCCACAGAGTACAGTGGGTATATTCACCAACATTGGATCCAGAGGGTGAACAAGCCATAATGTTTTCACAGTTCTGCCAGCCTCCTAAACAGAGGTTTCAGCAACCACTGTTACTAATTACATGCCCCAAGATTAACTATCTCAAGTCATAGAATTTCACTCTTCTATTTATTCTCTGTTTGGTACTCAGCGTATTAAAAAATAAACTAAGATTCCTCCCCTGTCTCTGTATATATCATCAGGCACTATTTGTTTTGTCTACCCTCATTCATCAGTATTTCTCCAATCTGTCTGCTTGAGATGTGTTCGATGATTAACTTCATTAAAATAATCTCACCCCATGGATTTGTATTGTACTGGTCCTTGATTTGTTTTCTCCCTGAGATCTAGTCAACCTTAAAGCTTCTATTTGTTCAAATAGGTTAACATTACATTCTTAAAGCCAGCAGTCAGTAGGCGAAGTGTGGAGGATTACAAATTGGGGCCAGTCCTGCGATCCTGTCCTAGTATACTTTGTATTGTTGATAGACAGATCCTGACATAACCCAATGTGATTGAAAGAGTTTATTTGGCTCCCATGTCCTGTTCAATGTCCATCATTAGAGGAGTTTTCTAGGAACTCTAGCAGATTCAGAGGACAGCTCTTTCCTGACTTGCTCTTCATGGCAACTTCACTTTACTTTCATACACAATTCAGGACCAACATACAGGGGTGGAGGCAACCACAGTGAGCCTGGATCTCCCATTTTAGGTATTAATAAATGGGTCCTGTAAACTGCATGCAACTGCAAAATCACAGGACTACTTTCAGATACTCAGCACAATAATTCTCTTTGTTTTTAAGTCATCTTTCTGTGTAAATGGATGAATGTGGAAAAGATGATATTGAGGGAGAGAACCCAGATCCAGAAAGACAAATGCCAGAGGTCATCTCCATTAGCTGTTTCTGGCTCCCAAACTTCTGACGTGAGTATAAAACATGGAGGAACAGAGAGGGGAGGGGATACCAAAAGTACCTGACACCTGGCTTTTTGTGTCTAGCTTTGGCTGTATGTATATTCCTCTTACACAGCTAGATACCATGTCCTCTGAGAGGTTCTTCTGAGATCTTCCCAGGGAGATTGTACCTAGCAGGAGTAGAAACCTAGCCCTGTGTGTATATGTGGGACTTTCCTCCAGGGAGGAAATGTCTAGAAGTAACAGATACATAGTTGTGTGTGTGTGTATGAGAGAGAGAGAAAGAGACAGAGACAGAGACAGAGACAGAGTCTTTGATTATAAGAATGACCTAACTCCATCTCTTTGTGTACCTGTAATATTGGCTGTAGAGATTAGGGTACCTAGCACAATGTGACATCTCACCATGAATATATAGTTGAAGGTTTCCTTTAGGGGAGGTGATACTGAGGAGGACATGATACCCTAGTCATAGGTGGGTCTGTTCAATAGACTATGATATTCCTAGCAGTTTGGCTAGACAGTAAGGGAGGGTTTATCCAGCAGGAACTGATAGTGAGCCATATCTGTGTATGAAGGCCTTTGGCTGCAGGGTATGTGTGTCAAGACCTACAAGGCATTACTTCACCAAGCCAATGCACAACCCTACACACACACACACACACACACACACACACACACACACACACACCCTAATAGACTTCTATTTTAAGCCTTTGCTCTCCACACAGGTCTAGGTGTCAATGGTAGCATTGTATTCCCACACTTATAGCCAAAGCCACAAACACATACATGACTACCTGTATTCCTGTGAGGAATGCCCCACTTCTACAACAATGCCACACATTCACAGGTAGGTGCCAAGTCCTAGCCTTTCCCTAAACCCATAGATCCATTCATGGGGCTAGGGGAAAAACTCCAGGGACTCACAACCTGGAGAGGGTTCCCACAGGCCTGCATGCATGATTGTATATGTGCATGTGTGCATGCTTGCATTTCTATGTTTGTTCACCTGGTGTTTTGCTGTGGGGAAGAAGGTACCTAGCAGATCCTAAAACCTAACCATGTTTGTGTATGTGGAACTTTGGTTGTTAGGCTAGAGACAAATACCTGACCTGACACTTGCCTTATATGAATATGAGAGCTGTGCCTGGGTGTTTGCCCAGGTCTGGGGTTCCTAGCAGGATGTGATGCCTAGCCCTGTGCATGGGACTTTACTGTATCGCAGTGGATCTTTAGGAGGTCAGGATACCTAGCTGCATAGGAGGAATATTGGCTGTAGGGAAGGGTGGACCTAACAGAAGCTGACACCTGGCCCTGTTTAGATGTTTTGGATCTAAGGAAGCTCTAAATCCAACAGATCCTGCCATGTAACTGCA